AAAGCAATGCACCATATCGTACATTAACATCTTATTAATTTATGTCATTCATATTCAAATAGTTTTTTCGATGCGTAAACACATAATAACCTTTTTTAAAAAATATCAAAATTAGATCTTTATAATAAGAAGTAGCTAGGATAGATTTTTAAAGAGGAAGAAAGAAAAAAGCTGTTTCATAAATTACAATAAACTATACTCATATATGTATTACTTAGTAATAGCATAGACGTTAAAATAACCTTGAACAGTAATATGATATAATCATTTAGACTCCAATAGAGTGCACACATTTCTATGAGAATAGATGTGTGTATAAAAAAAAACGTAACTCGTTCATTCTAATAATAATTATAAAATGAAGTCAAGTGAAAATAATCTACAAAACATTGCGTTTTTTTCATTTAATTTGATGCATGTTGCTTATTATAAGAAGTGTCTAGATTATAAAGAATATTAAAATAATTGTAAATCTCTACTAAAACTATTATTTTCTTAAGTTTACGTACATAATTCCATGTTTATAATGTAGATATTCAGACAGCTGAATTTATTTCAAGTAATTCGACTCTTTACACTCTAATTATTCAGTATTTGATACAAAAAAATAACGAAATTAAATCACGACATATTCGTTGATTAATGTATGATATTTTAATCAAGGTTAATTTCTATCTAATCAAGATAAATCAAAACATATATCGAGAGTGTTTTGTGACGTATCTATGATTGGTTTTGGTTATTATTTGGAGAGTGTGATGACATAATCCATTATGACAAGTGAAATTATCACGCAAGATAAAAAACCTTCATTCTATAACAGCGTATTTGTCTATTTATAGATTATTTTATATATTCGTGTTAGCCATCTCTCTACTAGCTACTATATAATTGCATTGTTAAGTTTGAAACTACTTTAATAGAGATACTAGTAATCAAATCTGAAAATTTCGAAGAGACGTGATATTTCAAGTTTTTCTTTCAATATCGAATAACGATTTTTGTATTCGAGTCATTGCACAAACAGAATAAAATAAAAACATACGATATTTACTCATGTCAATCATAATTTCAAATTGTATATGTTACAGGTATAGACACGTATACAAACGATGATTGGAAATGTTTTTTTTCTCTCTTAGCCGTAAATCATAAGTTGCATATGTGCTCAAATGATTCTAATCAACAAGTCTCTTCTCTATTCTACTGATTTCAAAGAGCGTAAGAACGAAATTTAATCATTTCGGAATTGTAAACAAATAATGGTAATCTATAAACAATAACTATATTCATAGCTTATTAAACGCTAATAACAAATTTTAGGAAAATTTTTAATAGTATCTTAAAAATATTGGTTTTATAATGTGGCGCCCTCTTACATCATATTAGATTTATATTTCAAATTGTTACTCATACGATACAAAATAGGATTGGTGTCTTGCTTTTACAGTAGTTTAATAGTATGGATTTGGTCAAAGTTCTTATTCGTCAGATGATCATGAAAAAAGAAACAAAGAATCAAAAAGTTAAAATTTACTAAAAAAATTTAATCTATTTTTTAGATTCTTTCACATGGCATGGACGAGTCTTATGGATTATATTCAATAAAGAATCGAGAACAGATAATTACCTTTGATGAAAATTTATTACAATCAGTGAACGGACATGATGATGAAAATTCATACGAAGATTTTCCAAGATGTTTTTCAATTGATCATGATGATGTTGTACTTTTGGATCAGTCACAAATTATTTCACATGAGGTGAAAAGTACACTTAACAATCTTTTAAACAATATTCAGAATTCGGGAATTCAACAAAGTCAGATTATTTCTTTATCAAATAAACGTTCACTAGACAACAGTAATCATCATGATCGTTTATTAAATAAAAAAGTCAGATTTAATATACCCGATGATGAACAGAACCAACAATTAAATTCTTTATTTATTTCTGAAACTTTTCATTCTATCAATCAATCTAAGCCTTGTACGCAATTTTTATATAATCTTGGTTTTGATCTTTGCTTAGAACATAATCTTAATGACAATAATCATTTATCAGAAATACAAAAACAAACATTAATTAAACGTAATAAAGTATTTCATCAATATAAAATATATTCATGTAAATATTGTTCATTTCGAACGAATACAATTTATGCTTTAAAACATCATTATCAAACACCACATACTGTATTTAATTCAACATATTCTCATAAGAAATATCGTTGTACATATTGTTCATTTAAAACATTTCGTATACCTTTACTTCGTCGTCATTTTGAACGACGACATGGTTATCAACTAATAACTGAACATTCAATTCGTCGATATTCATGTAGTTTTTGTTATTATGAAAGTGATGATAAGAATAGTTTTGTTAAACATAACAATCGTTGTCAAATTGAACAAACTCGAACACGTATTGCAAATAATTTACTTGCACCATTCGATCCATTAAATAATAACGCAAAAATTATCGAGAAAAATAAAAAACAATCAACAACGGTAAGAAATATTCTCAATATACAATAGATAATTATTTTATTATTTTTTAGAAAAATTTTCCATTACCTTCAACGTCAAATACAATAGAAAATCGATATAATAATGAATTTATTGAACCGATTATTATTATAGAATCTGATCATGATATATCATCAATATCGGGAACATCATCATCCGATGAAGATTTTATTGTTTCATCCGATGAAAAAAGTTCATCAAGTACAGATAATGATAATATAAATGATGGAGATTTTGAAATGGGTAAATCCCGTTCGAAAAAAGTTCAACATTCAAATTATAAATTAACAACGCTAGTTTCTCAGTCTAATCAAACTGCTTCATCAGCATCAAATACACTATCATCTTTATCAAAATTATTATTATTAAATGGGACACCTGTACCATCATTTACATCATCACCAAATGCAACTAAATCTTCATACGTATCTATTCAACCCAAACCCGCAAATGGAAGTGATATTTATCAAGTAAATCAAATTTAAAATAAATTCTTATATATTTTTTCTCTCTCTCTCTCGTAGATATGTAATATTTGTCAATGTTATATTTATCAAAAGGATTATCTTAAACATATGAATGACAAACATAATAATAATGAGTCATCGATTCAATCTCAACAAATAATTTCACCTCCTGAAACTACTGCTTTAAACAATACAACAGATAATACAAATGCAACAACTTTAATTATAACGAATACACCAGCAGCAGCACAACCACCAACAACTATTTTTCTTCTATCAACAACTACGATGGATCCTCAATCAATTACATTGAATATGATTAAATGTCCTTGGTGTGATACAAATTTTGAACATATTGATATTATGACTGGACATTTAATGAGGTAAATAACAATATCAAGTCAGAGAATTATTCTCTTCGAATAGAGATGTGCAGGGTAGGGTTAGGGTATAAAAAATGCTTACCCTGTACATCTCTATCTTCGAATAGAGTATGACTAATATACATGTTTTCTTTTTAACCAAAGAAGAATTGAATATAATATCAATATAAATTAATTTAGATATCATCGTATGACACTTGCTGCATCGAAAGTTGTAGTTGCCGAACAAATGAAACTTCAAGGTACATCATCGAATCAGTTAACGTTATTGTTTAAAGCAGAAATTGAACAAATACAAAAAGATTTTATTGATAAAATGTATTGGAAAATTTCTCAACCAAAAGTCTATTTACATCAAATAGAAAGTTGTAAGTTTACAAGATAAAAATGAATTTTTTCAATAAAATTTTTTTTATAGTATTATGTTTTGTTTGTCGTACAACTGTTGATAATATTGAAAATCATTTTCATCAATCACATCAAATAGAATTAACAACAATGAATATAATAAAACAATGTTGTTTATGTGGATTTAAATGTGATAAAAAAAATGTTAGCTTATTTGAACATCAACTACGCGCACATTCAGGTGTTTGTTATTCATCTATACTTAAACAATTTATACGTTTTGAACCACCACCATCATTAGTACCAAAACTAACAACATCAAAAGTTAATAATCGATTTATCTTACCATTATCTTCATCGAATAAACGATCATTAGTAACTTGTACAGAAAAAGTAAGAAAGAAAAATTTAATAAAATTAATTTTTTGTTTGTGTTAAATAGAAATTTGGTTGTCGAAAATGTGATACAAGTAGTCGATTATTTACTTTTGAAGAACTTGTTGAACATTTACATGAAATTCATAAACTTAATGTTAAATTACATCGTCGATGTATTATTTGTCAAGAAACATTTAGTAAAGGAAAAGAATACAATCAACATTGTTTAGAACATCTAAATGATGAAAATCCTTCGATAGAAATTAAACGACAACGTACGATATAAAAGAAATCATGTTTTATTTCCATTTGCTCCCGATATGTGTGATCATTAATTGTTGTAATTAACAAAAAAGTATGTGAAATATTAAAATTGAAAGATTTGTTTTTTTTTCTTGTGTATTGGATTGTTATAGTCAATTAGTAAACTTTTGTTTCTATGTTAACGGAAGAAAAGAAATAATAATAATAAGTTCATTTTATTATTATTTTTCTTCTCCTTTTTTCTGGTTAAATAAAAACACAATTATCTATAACGTTTTTTATGTTTTTATTCCCGAATTTCTAAGCATTTTTGTAGTTACTCGTTTGTACAAGCAAACCTTGACAATCATCAGCAAAAAAAAATATTGTAGTCAAGGAAACAAACTTTTCTACTGTAAATAAGTAATCTGACTCAACTCCTACTGTTTATTAAAAAAAAGGCAGAGATCGAATATTAGAATCATTTCTTATTCTTTCACGATTACCTATAATTTCGTTTTTTGATAGTTTCTACGTAAATACTAGATTAAATTAATGCAATAACAGTTAAATGGCGTTTATTTATTCTTATCTTTCTTCATTTACTATTTTAAGAAAACGATTAATTTTGTTTATATAAATATATTTTTTAGATCACGTAGATTCGTATCATTAATAGTTAGCAAATGGCAAATGTCACGCCATATTCATGAATAGTAAGATTTTTTTAAAATAAATAATGATAAAAATGAGCAACTATTTGTCTCATTCGTTATTTTTGATTGTTTTTTTGAAAAAAATACATGACTAATATGACGTATTATTTTTTCCAGTTGAATGCTTATAGAAGTATAACAATGTTATTCAACGTAAATTTTGTTTTTTAATAAAAAAAAGCATTCAGATAATAATGAAAAGAGAAGCATGAGAACAAACACACGCACAAAAAAAAAATATAACGGTTTAGCTTTGAGCTGAACAAAAAAACTCATCACAGACGGAGCGCGCATTAATCTAATAGAAAATAGTAAAAGATAAGAATGGATTCAGTTAAGAATCACCGGTTAAACATTTGTTTTTTATTTTTTTAGATTTTAAATGTTGAATCTTCTCGATATTTTTCAGTAACTCTATTTGCCATTGATTTTAAATTATCGAGTGATCCTATAAGTCCAAAGAAGTGATATTTAAGTTCATCTTTAATTGTATCAAATGATGCAGCAGTTGATGATGTTATACTATTTTCTAATTCATCGGATGATACTATTGATGATGTTGATGAATGTTGAGTGTTATCATGACTAACAAGTAATATTCCTTCATCATCATTTGAATCTTTAGTTTCTTGTCGAGCGTAAGGAGTATTATTATTATTATTATCATCGTCTTCATCAATAAATGGACGTGATCGTGTTAATTGATTTCGTACATCGCGAACAAAAGTATATAATTCATGCCAATTATTTGGTTGAACTGAATTATCGAGAACAATTTCTAGAAAATAAATAAGAATAAGAATTTCATATAGGTTATGTCTGTATTTTACCATCAACAGGCATATCTTTGAGTCTTGATGGTAACATTATTTCATCTTCCATAATTTTCGTTGCATCAAAAAATTCATTCATTGCACCAAATAGAAGTGGTACAGTATGTTTTGATGGTGTATGTTGATTTAGAAAATCATTACTTGTTACTGCTATATTTTGACGACGTTGATATGCCATATATTGATTTCGTCGCTGTATTGTACTAACTGTAGATGATTGTCTATTTAATTTATTATTTATTTGCTGTTTGGGAAGTAATTTAGGCGAACTATTCGTTGGTGTCATTGCTGATGCTGGAGAATCTTCTAGTTTCATAATTGTTCATACAGGGTCGAATCAGTTACGACAATCTACTTATAAATAAGGCGAAATGAGAGAAAAAGAGAAAAAAAATGAAGGTCTTTTTTTTCTTCCTTTGCGTCGACAATAGCGAAATAGTAATACCACTTCACCACTGAAGTAACGAGAGGAAGAAAAGAGAGAAGAAAAAAAAATAGATGACGAGAGAAAACCGAGAATCAAGGAAAGAGAATATATATTCTTTTTTTTTATTATATTTAGACGTACATTACGCAGCACGCCATGCATCGAGCGAATGTTGTTGGAATGATGATGATAGCTCTTTAACTTGACTTTGCGATAGAGAAACGCATTTTTTCAGTTCCCTGGAAAGAAAGCTATAAGATAACAAGAAAAGATAATGTCATAATATGTTTCTCGGTGCTAAAAAAAAACGGTGAAAAGGTTATCGAACCATATTTTTTAACTTAAAATATATCTGTGAATCATTTATAGAGCAAAAATTCTTATACTTGTTTACGAGTTGCTTTATTGATTCAAGAAGATTCGCTTTTAACATAATATTTTCTTCGTTTCACATGAAACTAAAATAGAACTAATCAAACAACAGAATCTATCGACACTTTTCTTTTTAAGTATTTTTCTAAAACGAAGACAAGTATGTCATTATGGCGTTGTTTCGAGTGATAAATATTATTTTTTTATGACGTGCCATTCCGATATCGACCAGCTGTCTTATGCCACACCTCTTTAAATAAAACCGAACAAGAAAAAAATCTTTGTGTTATTATTCTCACTTTATCGTCGGATGTACATGGTGTGATCAGAACATGCATAGAATGCGTGATAATAAATGACGATGTTTAACGTCTGCTTTAACCTTTTTCTATCTAATCTAGCAAAATACCTGAAGTTATCAGTATGATAATAACTTTGTTTTCTATAAATCTATACATCTTTTACTTGTTTTTCTCTATCTAAATATGCATCCACGATCGATGCACATTATATAACATATTATTAAAACAAATTTCTCTTTTATATAGTGATGTACATGACAAATATAGACACACCCTCTCTCTTTTCACCACGTTCTCGTCATCTTTCGATGAAGAACAAAAAAAAAACTTACAATAATAAATAACAGATGTATAAGATGGTTGACATATGTACACATCTATCTCTACATACGTAATAACCTCAAAACTTGAATAATAATACGCAAAAATAAAATACACAATAAAAAAAAAGCATGATGTTATCAAAAGAAATATGCGTTTTTTTAGTAATAGTTATGATGACGTCAAAAATAAAATAAATGCATGCAAAATTTGTCTTATTTTTTTATAATAAAATTTAATTCTAGTATTCTTTAAAAATAGATATAAATATATAAATGGGATCATCCATGGCAAGAGGTGATATAGAAAATTTAGCAACAGATTTTTTTGGTCTATTCGAATCATTTAAACATGCACCTTTCTATCATATAATAATTGAAGTTTCTCTTCTTTTGGCTGTTGTTTGGCTCTTATTCTTTCGTAAACCACGTCCTATAGAAAAAAAATTAACAGAAAAAGAAAAACAAGAATTAATTGATGAATGGCAACCTGAACCATTAGTTCCACCAGTTGATTCTAATCATCCAGCTTTAAATGTTCGAGTCTTAGATGGTATTGTCGGAAAGACTGTTGAAATTGATGGAAGAAAAAGTCTCAATTTTGCTACATTTAATTTTCTTAATTTTGTTGGAAATCAACGTATTGCTGATAAAGCAATACAAGCAGTACAAAAATATGGTGTTGGATCATGTGGCCCTCGTGGGTAAGTTTGAATACTGATAATAACATAATTGATTTATTTAATTATATCGATTTTCTCCGTAATAGAAGTCTTTTGAATAAATAAAGATAGTTTAATATAAAAATTGAATTACGATGCAGACTTTTGTGACGGAAAAATCTAATCATAGTTTATATCTATTTGTAAGACATGATATTTACGTCAGAGGAGCATTAGATATAAAATTTTGTTATTCATAAATCATGATATGACAAAAATGATTCAGGTATAATCATATATACTTTGATGAATCATGATATGTCATTTTAGATTTTACGGTACAATTGATATTCATTTGGAACTTGAAGAACGTTTAGCAAAATTTTTCAGTTGTGAAGAAGGTATTATTTATTCATATGGATTTTCAACTATTGCCAGTATTATTCCAGGTAAAATAAAATTCTTTTTATAATTTTTTGTTTTCATAAATAAATTGAATGTTTATTTTTAGCCTATTCCAAACGTAATGATATATTATTTGTTGATGAAGGTGTTCATTATGCGATACAAAAGGGAGTTGAAGCATCACGCAGTCATGTGAAATGGTTTCGTCATAATGATATAAATGATCTTGAACGTTTATTAGCTGAACAAGACGTACTTGATAAGAAAAATCCTAAGAAAGCTCGTACAATACGACGTTTTCTTATTATTGAAGGTTTATATGTGAATTATGGTGATATATGTCCATTACCACGTATGGTTGAATTAAAATATAAATATAAATATCGTATATTTATTGATGAAAGTGTTTCATTTGGTACAATTGGACAAACAGGTCGTGGTATAACAGAATATTATGGTATAGATCGACAAAAAAATCGATTTAATCTCATCAACATTAGAATATTCTATTGGTTCAATTGGTGGTTTTGCTGTTGGTAGTTCATTTGTTGTTGATCATCAACGTTTATCTGCTCAGGGTTATTGTTTTTCAGCATCTTTACCACCATTACTTGCTGCAGCAGCTATTGAAGCTTTAAATATTATGGAAGAAGATCATACGTTATTATTTGAAACAATTATGGCTAAAAGTAAACGTTTACATAAGAAATTATTATCAATTAAAGGTTATATTATCAATGGTGATGAAATATCTGCATTAAAACATTTACGTTTAACAAATTCATTGAATACTGTTGGACGTTTAGAAGAAATTGTTCAATTTGCTCAATCACGTGATATAACAATAACTGTAGCAAGATATTTAACAGATGAACATCATTTACCGGAACCATCTATTCGTCTCATTTTAAATGTTGAAATGACAGACGAAGAATTAGAATTTTTATGTACGGTTTTACAAGAAGCACTTGTTAAAGTAACTGCTTAGGTTTAATATTTGGAAGCTATTCGATCATAAATAAACTTTTCATACATTCGACATCTTTTTGTGTTATTAGAGTGTTTTGCTTTCTTTCTTTTTATACAAATCAATAAACAAGATAACATTCATACTTAATGAATGATAAAACATTATCCTTATTTTTCTTTTATTTAGAAAAAATGATTTATCTTATGGCACAAACAGCTAATTGTGGGGTATTTTGTTTGATAAAGAGAGAGAGAGAATATACTGCATGGATCTGGCGCGTTGCTGTGTTTGAATGATTTTTATATTTGTTTTATTTTTATTTTTATTTCAAACAGAATATCTATTGGATTGTATTCAATTTATTATTGATACAAACAATGGGTGATACAACAAAGCGAAAAATTCTTGTATTTGGTGGAAATGGATTTTTAGGTGGAGAAACCGTAGTAGAACTTTTAGCAACAAATACATTTGATATAACAGTTATCAATAGAGGCAATTGGAATGATTACGATTCAAGTATTCGTATTCGACCATTTGTTAAAGCGATTAATATTGACAGGTTTGAATATATAATTTTAGTGTCAAATAAAAGTATACTATTAGATATTATCTTTTACTAGGAAATCTTCTAATGCA